AATTAGATTTTTTTAAAGAAAGTAAGTGAATAATAGTTTTGAAGTAAAGTTAAAGATGTGTGTCTTTAAGATTTTTTTTATAGTATTTTTGTAATTCAAAGTACTTTTTTTACTAATAAAAGTTATTTATCTTTAAAGAATAAGAATTAAACTTAGTAAAAATAAAAAATTTTTAAAATTTATTGTAATGATTATAAAATATTTTGTTTATTTAATATTTAAAAAAATTTAGGTCTCTGAAAATCTAAGGTAAAATTTAATATAATTTTAAAAGGTCACTATATATATATGGTAAAATTATGAGATAAGAAAGGTTGGTAAAATTACTAGTAAATCTGAAATTTTGCCCGGAGACCTTTATTAGAAGTAAGCGGGGTCCTATTACATGGCTCATAGTACCGCAAAAATAGGAATCAGCTCCCTTATGATCCTGAATTAGCAAAGTTGTATTCTCAGGATAAGTTGGAATATTGTTTTACCTGTAACACTTCAAACAATAAACTCAAGTTCACAATAGTAGCATAATTTACAAATCTTATATATTATTATTGTGTATAACAAGTTATTGTATTTATTTTTTCATCACTCATTAATAAAGTACCGTGAATATTCTTTTCGCTTAGGGCAGTGACATTTATTACGTAATATTTTAGGGGTGGGAGGGTATTTAAAGGTCATATAACATATAAGTGTAACATAAGATTTTTCATATTACATGGGGGTGGGGGAGTATGGGCTTATAGTAAATGGATATTACGTAATAAATGTCACTGCCCTTATCATCTGATATGTAAAAACTACAAAATCCCAAGACTGTGATGCGTATCACAATCTCAAAGTTTAGCACTTTTTTTATATAAAATATTGTAAAGCATGATTTTTGTAATCTGGTGTGACAGATATCTGTATTAAGTTAGTTGTGTAACTGATCAACTGATGAGTCAGATCAATTTGTGCGACAATCGATTTCTTATATATAAAATAACAATTTCTTAAATCTAAATTCTACTGTACAACTGTACGTCTCAATAAGATAATTATGTCATCTCTCGTCTATAGTGCAATCAAATCTCTCAATCTCACAAAAGAAGAAAAAGGTGCGCTATGCGCTTTCTTTCTTAATAACCCAAATAAAAGAACTGAAGTAGAAGATCTCTTTCCTACCCTTGATGACGATGAGATAGTTGATTGTTTGAAAAATCTTCTAAAGCCTGGTACATTCTCTTATAGGTTTTATTTGTATCTGCCAATAATACTGAATACTTACTTAATCTTGTGCTTTTCTTTCCTAGGACCCAGAAAATAGAGCTCTGAACGGGTCGGGTAGGGTCGGGTAATTGACTTAACTCGACCCGAGGGGGAGTCACGAATTTGATGACCCGACCCGAATATCACGGGTCAGTTCGGGTACCCAACCCGACCCGTTAACCCGATATTTTGGATCAAAAAAAAACGTTTCGGCGTTTTTTATATATCAAATTATAAGAAAAAACTCTAAACGTTTTTTTTTTACAATTATTTTGTGGAAAAGAACGTTTTGGCATTTTTTTACATATTAGATTACGCCAAAACGTTTTTTATATCGGGTCAGGTCGGGTACCTGACCCAACCCGTTGATGTTAAAAAAAAAACGTTTTTTTGATTCATTTAATGAAAAACGTCAGGTCGGCTTTTTTTTCATTAAAAAAACGTCTTTTTTTGATTTATTTAATGAAATAACGTCGGGTTATACGTTTTTTCATTAAAAAAACGTTTTTTTATTCATTTAATGAAATAACGTCAGGTTCAGCGTTTTTTCATTAAAAAAACGTTTTTTTTTATTCATTTAATGAAATAACGTCGGATTCAGCGTTTTTCATTAAAAAAACGTTTTTTTTTATTTATTTTAATGAAATAACGTCAGGTTCGGCGTTTTTTCATTAAAAAACGTTTTTTTTTCATTCATTTAATGAAATAACGTCGGTTTCGGCGTTTTTTCATTAAAAAACGTTTTTTTGATTTATTTAATGAAATAACGTCGGGTTCGGCGTTTTTTCATTAAAAAAAGACGTTTATTATTATTATTTTTATGAACAAATGTCGGATTTGAGTCAAAAAAACGGGTTGGCATTTTTTATATATAAAAAACGCCGAAACGTCTTTTATTGACCCAAAATATATCGGGTCAACGGGTCGGGTCAGATACCCGACTTGTGACTGACCCGACCCGAGGTCGGATCATTAAATTTGCTACCTGACCTGAATTTTTCGGGTCAACCCGTCAGGTCACCCGGGTTGACCTGACCCGTTCGGAGCTCTACCAGAAAATGCTTATATATGTAAGGTACCAAGGTGCTTAGCCTATACTTATCAGCGGAATTGAATTTTTGAATTATGACAGATATAATTAAAATGCCATAATTCGCCGTAATTATATGTTTTATTAGTAAACATTTGTACTGACGT